CTACGTACTATATATATATATATATATATATATATATATATATGATAATAATAATAAGGATGGAAGCAGCGATGTATATTTACCCATCTTCACTTGTCAAAAATAAATCATACAAGACATAGAAATGGAGTCTGTGACGTTGACTGACCCTCAAACAGACCGTATTCGTCGCTTAACAGTGTCCATCGTGTGTTGATTTTCTTTTTTGCATTTAATTTTTTTGTTTGGCAGAAGCATTCTCGTTTGGCGTGTGAACGCTCCAATTTTATTATCACTCCTTCAGAAGCAATTTAAACTGAGATTTTTTAAAAATTAAAATGATCTTCGAAAACTGAGTGTATTTGTGCAAGGAAGCGTTGCGTATTAAGCCGTCTGTTCAAACATCATCGAATGGCATTAGTCTATAATGTTCATTGTGTGTCTGCAGATATTACTCATGAAAAGGGGTCAAATATTTCGGTACCAACATTCATATACAAAATAGGTAATGAAAGTAATAAAATAAGATTAAAAATGCATCGCAAGGTATGGATGCGGCTCGTATAGTCAATCTACTTACCCGTGTTTGGAAGTCTCGCAACCCTACCCCCTCTCTCCATCTCGCGCGCACACAACAATCATTCTGTACAAAATAAGAATAGGAAAGCGTCTACATCAAGTGGGAAGCAAGCAACCAACACCTTACACTACATACACTCTCTCTATTTTACACACACACACACACAAGAAACACAAAAAGGATCACCCCCTTTCTTCTCTTTCGACATCATGCCTGGCCCAGGACTTCTCCCAGACGGGTGGTTTCGTGAGGAGTGCGCGTTGTGGCCGGGACAGGCCCAGGGCCTGAAGGTGCAGGAGGTCCTCTACGACGCCCCGACGGAGTTTCAGCACCTCACCGTCTTCGAATCCGACCGCGCGGGCCCGTGGGGGACCGTCATGACCCTCGATGGCGCGATCCAGATGACTGACTACGACGAGTTCGTCTACCATGAGATGCTCGCGAACATCTCCCTTTGTGGGCATAAAAACCCGGAGCGGGTGCTCGTCGTCGGTGGCGGCGACGGCGGCGTCGTGCGGGAGGTGCTCCGTCATAAGAAGTCCGCGGATGGCTCAAAGGGCACCGTGCAGTCGATCGACCTCGTCGATATCGACGCCGGGGTGGTGGAGCAGAGCAAGAAGCACTTCCCTCAGATCGCGTGTGGTCTTGATGACCCCTGCGTGAAGGTCACCATCGGCGATGGGGCGGCTTTTGTGAAAAACACGCCGGATAACAGCTATGATGTGATTATTGTCGACACCACCGACCCGGATGGGCCGGCCTCGGAGCTCTTTGGGGTTGAGTTTTATCGGAACATCATGCGAATTCTTCGTCCGGATGGTATTGTCTGCAATCAGTGTGAGTCGATATGGCTTAATCTCCCTCTCATCACAAGGATTGTAAACTTCATGAAGAATGACATTGGCTTCAAGACCGCAAAATACGCCATGATTTACATTCCAACCTATCCGTGTGGAAGTATTGGCACCTTGGTTTGTGCAAAGTCTGCGGAGACCAATGTCTTGGAGCCCCTGCGTCCCGTTGAGGGTCTCGGCTTTGCTAATGAGCTCAGATACTATAGTACGAAGGTCCATAAGGCGGCTTTTGCACTCCCGAAATTCGTTGAATTCTTAAACGAGGATTAGATATCATTAACAGTTTTACAGGATTTGTGTTTATACGATAAATTTTGCGATTTTATAACGTTCAGGCATATATATATAAATATATATGTTGTAAGGTCTACACATGCACGTTAGCCTTTTTATCATTAAAATAAAATGAAGCATGGCCTTAAAAGCTCTTGAAAACAAATCATAAAATCGAACTAGAACGGCGGGGAAAAACAAGAAAGGCTGAAGATGAGGGACAATACCGTTTAATGAAAAGTGACTCTCGCTTTTCATATATTGTAACACGCTTAAAATAGCTCTAATCAAGCTCATCTAACTGTTTACTCTATCAGATCGTTGAAAGGAAAAGTCGCGTGGGAGAGGGCTTCTGAGTGCCAACCGTATGTGCGCATGTTTTGTTTCTTTTCGCGAAGCGTGTGGATGTCTTTTTTCCGATTTCATCTGCTCTTTGTATACCCCTTCTTTTTGGTTTTACGTCCGTAATGTGTAAATAGCACGTGTGCCGATAGCGATATCAATACACATAAGTGCTTAACGCACACTTTGGAGTAATAACCATATATATATATATATACATATATATGAATATAGCTAATCAAAAGGACTCTAATGTCGCGAGATGATGATGCTTTATTAAAATGTGTTTGCTTAGTGCGAGCTCGCCTCAGCGGTAACGCAGCCGCTGCGCGGGCCCCTGTCGCCTCACTGGAGCCAGTTGTCTGCCTTTGCGCCTCCGCAACGACACTCCCCTCACAAAACCAAAACAAATCGATGGCGAACAATCAACACGCAATGGAAAATGGGCAGCGTTTCTGGAAGGAGCAGCCCGCTCTTCAGGGCGCTCTGGAGATTTTCTCGGGCAATCTTCTCCGCCGTCAGCATCGTCAACGGCAGGCTTCTTCACATGTTGCTTCACTTTATTCATGTTCTTCACCGACGGGCACCACCACATGTGGGCTAGTCGCCAGCCCATGGACGCTTCTCCCGGTTTCCGAGGAGGGGCTCTACATCCAGGTTCCAAGCGGATTGTACATCAACGCATGTCGGAAGTGGCTTATCGCGGCATTATCAGGGAAGAACGGGAGCACTGAAGCGGATCCGGTTGACAGCTACATGGATAGTCTTCGCCTCTATGCCGCGAATAGGGCCCACCGCGAGGAGAAACACGCCTCCACTGACGCGGGCACGCTCTACGGTTATGCCTTTTTCCTTCCCGAGGGGATTACCCGCGGCGACGACGCGAACGCCTTATCTTCATCCCACAGCGAGTCCCCTGCCTTGTCGGAGGAAAGTGGGTTGGTGCTTTGCTTGGTTTCGAGCTCGCCGGTGTTTAATTTTATGCGCACGCTCACCACGCAGCTCGTGCCGGTGTTGTGTGCATCCGCGCGCCCCGTCGGGGTGGCGGCGACGACGGGTGCCTCGAAAATGGACGACACCGCGCTTTTCCGCCTGCTCTATCCCCTTCAGGAGCTAACCAACCCGAGGAATGCGTACCGTTCCACCTTACCTGGGCAGATCATTGGTCTTCCACTTGCCCTCCCTGTGGGGGTTGAGGGCCCCGGGCTGTCCAGTCCATACCTCGGGCGCAGCCATGGCAACATCCTTTCGCTGCCGCGTCCGTACGACGTGTATCATCCCTTCCTCGACGTGCCGCTCTCGGTTTTACTGCTCAGCTTCTCGCACGACGCCCTGCGCGTCCTGCATAGTCTGCTGATCCAGGAAAGGCGCATCCTGTTTATTGGAATGACGCCACAGCACGCGGCGGCGTGCGCCGTGAGCGCCCCTGCCCTGATTGCCCCCCTGGTGTGGGTCTCCCCGCTCATTTCCTATCTTTCCCCGGAGCACGTCCTCGCCTGCGATGGGCTGGACGCGTTGTTCGCGGCCCCGGAAGAACGCGGCAAGGGTCGAGGCCTGGCCTCGTTGAATTCCCTCCCCGACGGCCCTCGTGGTGCGGAAAACGATCAGTCCGGCGGCTTCATCATTGGCTCCACCCCGGGGCTGGTGCCGGCGTTGATGTTGATGATGCGTTGTGGCGCCGCGCCGGGGGCCTCCAGCCGCGCACGGCCGGAGGACGCCGTCTGGATCGCCGACGCGCGAACGGGAAATGTGAGCGTCATGTCGCCCAACGCGCACCCTGCTGAGGCCACGATCGTGCTGGAGGTCTTGCCGGAAAGCGATAAGCTCCGGTCGTTCATGAAGAAGTGCGTCACGAGCGAAGGGCAGCTTGCCTTCCGGACCGCGCTGGAGACCTTGGCCGCCTATCATGTGAACCACCGTGCCATCCACACGACAGGAGGGGAGGCATTGCGGTTGACGCAACAGCTCTCGCGAATCGGTGTGAGCACCAGCGATTGGGATCAATTTAGCGAGGCATACGAATCCCTTCCCATCTCGAATTGTGATAGCAATATCGGTAGCATCCGTAACTGGGAAGGTGAAGACAACACATCAGAGGCGGGCGCCAACCTAGCTGGAAGTCCCTCCAGGGCCGCATCGATGGCGGGGGGCGATTGGAACCGGATGGTTAACTCAGGTCCTCCGATTTTTCCGGATATTGCCTCTACTCGTCTTGTCGAAGTGCACGCCGCGGTACTTGAGCACAACGCTCAACTGCTCCTCGGGAATTACCGAAAGGGTCTTCGAATGAATTCCTGCTCTCCACTGGTCGTCTCAAGTGGACCCTCCAAGGCCATTACCGCGATCAACTCATTGGACTACATAGTTGGCAACCTTGATATGCACAATATCCTGGCAACCCACATCTGCGGTACACATCATCTCAAGCAGTTTGAGCACGCCTTGGTGAGGGTGGAGCTGCTGGGGCTGTCGAGTGTGCTTCGTGGCGATTATATCCGTTCCACCCCCGATGCGTCAACCCGAAATCTAACTTCACGCGAAGCGCGGGTCATGTTTAACCGCTACGTGTCTGATCCACGCATGGTAGCCATGCTCAATCTGTTCTACGAGCAGAGCAAGCGTCGCTTCCCAGATCTGTTTCCGGATTTGCTACCCATCGACGGAGTGATGTGCTGTCATCGCGTCGCCACCATGGCTCTACTCGATGGTGCGGGGCGAGAGAACGCACAGGGACGTGCGGCGCTGCTCCCCTCTGCAACCCCGGACCCTTTGATTGAGATCCTCGCCGGTAAAATCAGTGGCGATCGTAATAATCGCTCCGAGGGCAGTGGCAGCAGCGGCAGTGGTGGTGGCATCCGAAAATTCTTTGCCAAAGCGACGAAGGCGGTTCGACAATCGATTGCTGGAGGCACATCCGGCCAAATCGTTCCGATCCCCTTCCCCGACTTCGCACAAACCTTCACGAGCTTCACGGACTTAAAAGGCGCGAATGGGCCCTCTGCTGTGACTTTGTGGTGGAAGATGGCTATGGCGCCGCTGCCACGTGGAGTCGACGACCTGGCCTCCGCCTCATCACGGGCGGATCCGCCAAAGGAAGAAAGTTCCGTACTCTTGCAAGAGCGATGGGCCCACGCCGTGGCCTCGCAGGCGAGGGAGACACTTATCGCACTGGAATACGCGCTTCCAGACGCCAACACCGCCGCGGTGGATGCGATGATGGGGAGTGGGAATGCCTTGGACTCCATCTGCCGCAGACCCGCGGCGTCGACCGGCGAGGGACCCAACCGGGACCCCCTGGCCGCTTACGGCCACTGCTGCCAACCGCTCTGCTTGGATCTGATTCACCAGTTCGAT